CTTGTTCGGATTATCAGATTACTAGGGGTTCGGATTATGAAGACCGTCCGGTAGTTTGGCTTCTTCTAAAAAATTAATGGCTATTAGGTTTTACCTGATTTGTTTTATCATCATTTACTACAATATAATGTAATGTATACCTTTATTGGAAGAGGGTAAAAATGATTTAATAAATTAATGTAACAGTTAAAAAGCAAGTTAATCTAGTTTCACTAGTTCAGAGAAAAGAGAATGGCTGCTCTGTAGTTTTCCCAAAAAGGAAAATCCCAAAGAGGGGAGGGACAAAGGTTTTTGTTTTGGTAAGCAGTTGTTGCGTGGCTGCAGTGAAGAGATGATAGGAGAAGCATCCTAAGAATCCTGGCTCCAGTGGGTAAAACCCAGTAATAGTATTACCATCTTGGTAGAGAGACTAGTTGTTTGGAATTTCAAGAGAGAGAATCTACCAGGGAGCTTGAGTTGAGTAGAAGAAAGTGTCACTATTTTGGAAGTTGTGTTTGGTAGAACATTGGAAAGCATTTGAATAAAAAAATTTAGTCCAACAAAGGAAAAAATAGTATCTATGGAAAAAACGTTAGCTTGCCAATTCATACTTGACTTTATTTTAAAATCAGGCAGTGTTTAGTATAGTTAATTTTAGTTTGCCTGAGTGTTTTGATCTGATTGTCTGTAACCCACACCTAAGATAAATAAATGTATTAATACTCTTATAATTTTGTTTATTATTAAATAACCTCTTCTTTATTTAGGAAGTATCCTAATATTATTAAAGTGAGCTTTCATGCGGTCATATTATTATTTGAAAATGTAAGAGAGATGTTACAATAGATAATTAAGATTTAATCAATACACAATTAATTTTTTTCAAAGACTACATATACTCCCACAAATCTCATTATATTATTAATAAAACATTTCTTAAGTTAGTTTTATTGTCTATATGTATTATATTATGTTTCGACATTTTCAAATATTCTTAAACACGAAAACAACAGTCATAAAAACATTTAACAAAGTTTTCAGTATACTGGTCGATGTTAGTAATTGTTATATCAATTATTACAAATTTAGTTTTTTTCATGTTTTTTGTCACAAATATCTTTGGTTTTTTCTCTTTTTAAATTATTTTTCTTAAAAATTATAAATTACCTCCCAAAAAAACAGAATTTAACATTATATGTAGATTTTGTTTTTAGCAAAAATTTATTTTATCACAAAAATTGGTACATAAAAACAAAAGAATTTTTTTATGTTATAATTATAGTCCACAGACCCCTGCCCTGTTTATCAAATTATTAACATCCCCCCGAAACTTCATAAATTGCTTCATCTCATTATAACCAACAGCTAGCTTATACAAAAACTCTTGGTGTTGGGCCATTTTCAATCTGGAGATCGATGCACTTTGTCTATTTAATGAGATACTAAAAACTCGTAAATAACCATTGGCTTTCCACTTGAATTGTGAGATAACTTGATCGCAAAATCGAGAAAAAATATGGCTTTATAAAATATTGGGCCATTTGGTGTGACCTACACCCCCAACATGTCAAAATAACGAGGTTATATAGGCCAAACGGTCCAATATTTTTGTAGTCCTCCTTTATTCTCTATGATGATTTTGTGATAAAATTATCTTACGATCCAAGTGGAAAGCAAATGGGTATTTATGTGTTTTTAGTAACTAATTAAATAGACAAAGTTTGCCGGTCTCCAGATTGAAAACGCCCTAATCCCAAGTGTTTTCGTAAATAAAATAGTTGTAGGTTGCGATGAAATGAAGCCATCACAAAGTTTCAGGCAGATGTTAATAATTTGATGAAAAGGGGTCTATACCACGGACTATTATTTTATCTTATAATTAATTTTAGCCACAGTTTCATCACCATATTTAAAAATACGCTCATTTCACTTTCAGCCATTGGGTAGTATGCTGAAAAACATTTTTAATATTTTTTTTTATATAATATTTAAAAATGGTAATAAGTGCCAAAAAACATTATATAATACATAGAGAAAACAAACCTCTTGTTAAAGAGATATTAATATATATATATATATATATATATATATATATATATATATATTACATTTTATTTATTTTATAATGGAAAAATATCTGAATATATCAATATTTATTAAGTCTAGTTATTGTGGAGAAATTAATAAACAATGCAAGGAGGTGATGACAAGACCAATGACTGGTTATCACAATTTAGATCGAAGAAGTATTTTTAAATAATTAAATGGATTAAGAAGGAATGAAAGTATACTAATGGACTTCAGATTATTTAGGAACAAAAAAGTGGCAACAAAATTTTAGAAGAGGATCAGAATGATCACAAATGAGTGCTTTTTCCTATTTCTGAGCAGCCCCATGGTCTGTAATATAAGTTTAGCCGAAATATTAGAACAGTCTGCCAACATCCACAGTGAAAGTTCAGAAAGATGGTCCATGACCACGATGGTGCTCAACGTGTTAAAGGGAATGTAATTGCACATCTTCTTATACACATTGGTAGCTTGTTAGTGAAATCGTCTATCTAACTCTATCTTGATGTTACAACTTGGTGGCGAGCCTTGGCCTCCTCCATCAGCTTCCTCCAGTCATTTCTGGATGACTTGGTGCAGCCATTATCCAACTTCTGACTCCCAGGATATCCTGTGCAGTTTTTGATACACCATTTGACCATCTGAATTTTTGGTCTAATCTTCTTTTAATTTAATGCTGTGGAGAGAGTCCATCAGAACGTTTTTAGGGATTGCTTTGTCGTCCATCATAGCCACGTGACCAGCCCATCCAATCTCCCAAGCTTCATTTTTAGTACAATATATTCTTCATCAAAAATTGAATGAATCTTCATTGAAAATTGTTCGGGAGTTTCTCCATCGATTGAAACTCCTAAAACATTCTCTTGAATTTTGATCCTCTCAGTATTTTTCAGTCATCTCCAGTTCTTCTTTCTCTCTTTGCCTCTTCTTTCTGCGATGGAGTCGTTTTCCTCTCTCCTCTTCTTTTTATTTTCCTCAACAGCTCTTCGAGTCCCTTTTCTTAACATATTCTTATAAGCTGTATTCTTTAAACTAGTGGCTTCCTCACATTCTCTGCCAAACCATGATGACCTCATTTCCTTTTCTCTCGGTCCCAGTAAATTATCAGCAATTTCCTGCATTGCAGTCATAGAGCAGGACCAGATAGATTATTTCTTCTCTAAACAGTTTTCCGTGCTTACAGCCTGAGGACGGAGGTTCTCGTTTAGCTGCTCAATGTACAGCTGTTTGTTATCTGGCTCCTATAGCTTTCTAAGATTATAATGCTTAGGTCTTACAGCCAGGCCTTCAGACCTTTTGAAGATCTTAAGGTTGATGTGGGCAATACACAAAAAAGTGGTCCGAATCAACATTGGCACTTCGAAACGTTCACACATATTGAAGGCTGGATTTGTACCTTTTATCGACTAGGATATGATCTGTTTGGTTAACATGTTTCCTATCTGATGTAGTCCAGGCGCCTTTAGGAATAACCCTGTGTGCGAAAAAGGTATTTCCATTGATTATGTCTCTGGAGGTAGCAAAATTAATAAGTCTTGTTCCATTATTGTTAGATAGGTCATGGAGACTATGTTCACCTACGGTTGGGAGGTATACCTCTTCCTTTTCTATTTTTGCATTACAGTCTCCAGCGATTATTTTCATTTAGTACCTTGAGCACTGATCAAGGGTTCGTTCGAGCTGTTCATTAGAAGTATCCTTATCTTCCTCACTCAAAGCTTCCATCGGAGCATGCACATTAATAAGGCTGTAGTTATAGAAATTCCCACGAATCCTTAGCACAGAGATACTTGGATTTACAGGCTTAAAGCCAATGACCAGTTAGACCTAAATTGGCCTCTTACAAGAAATCCTATGCCATATTCATGAAGGGCATCACCGCAGCTATAGTATATGGTGTGTCGTCTATATTCAAGAATATCCTTGCCAGTCCACCTGATCTCCTGGATGGCAACTATGTCCAGTTTGAAATGTTCTATTGGATCAAGGAACAGTTTCAGTGCTCCAGATCTATAAAGTGAAAGGGTGTTCCAATATCTGAGGTTAAGAGTCCTATAAGGGTTGCTGGATTGTTTCCATTTGTGACAATCGATAACTGAGGCTTATTTTGGTTTCAACGAAATATAAGCACCAGGTAGTAGAGCTTCTAACCCTCTGGAATACTGGTGGGTCTGCCACCTTGGTGCTTGTATACCTGCTCCCCCGTCCGGAGAAGCTACCTAGGGAAGGTGACCCTAGTGTGTGTCTCAGTGTGTGTTCTACTCCATGCCTCTTCCCATGGTAGAACAGAATATGAAAGGTAGTCTTGAAGAGGCTAGAGTATTCGTCTTCTTCTCCTGTCAGTCTCCCATTTTTTCTCCTTCACTACTAATAGTTTTGTGCAGGCTGCGCCGCCGTCGTTGCAGTGTTACCTACTTGGCAATGATTTACATGTACCCCATGAAGGGGGGGGGGGATTTAAAATCACTTTAGGGTGATCAACTCTAAACAATATGATAATTGTGTACTGCGTGCCTCAGAACAGATATTTTATTGATATAATATTCCTAACCAGCGATGGGTGACGACGCCAATGTAAGTAACCTTAGTTGTGTATAGTGTGCTTTACTTAATTTGTGTGTGTATGTGTCAATGTACTGTTCCCCAACCTGGAGAGTCAGTGGCTATCTGTGGTCCTATGACTGGGTGATGGGGAAGCCACCTCTCTACGCCAAGTGAAATTGTCATAAATGAATATTTTAACTTGGTGTAGTATTTGGGTGCCTTCCATTACATGTTATTGTTTCTGGCTAGTAAATTTGTTGTTTTTATTTTAAATTATTTTTTTTTTTTTGTTTCTTCAAATGGAAAATTTATTTAAATAATTCAGATTAAAATTAACCATCACTGAAGCAAACATAGCATTGGAGAAACGAGTATATACCATGGCCTGATGTTTTATTTGTTTGTAGATTGTTGCTAACAAAGAAACAAATATAGACGTTGACAGGTGGGACTACATGCTGAGAGATGCTTATTTCTTTGGAGTTATCTGTCCTGTGGAGTATCGAAGGATTTTGTCTTATATGAAAATTAGGAAAACTGTTGATGGAAATCGAATCGAATTCAGGTGGGAGTTTTGAAAGATTCTTTTGAAAATTAGTTATGTTTTTTTTAGTTTTTATTATTTATTGTATTTTTCAGGGACAAACTGTATAATGATTTGCTTGAAATATTCGTAAATAGAATAAAGTTACACAGGATTTGTTACCAGCACCGAGTCAGCAGAACGATTGAGCTGATGTTTGTAAATTGAGTTTTAGAAAAAAACATTTATTTCATTCATATTATCATTTACTTAATTATTATCAATATTTAAATTTTTAGGTTAATTGATGCCTTGATTGAAGCAGATAATTTTTTTTTTACTGACAGGTAATACAACATTGATCTTATTTTAATGTAATGTAATTTTATGTATTCATAATGTTTCTTTTGTATGTTAAGCTTTAGATTGTGAAGAAACAAAAAAGAAAGATTTACTTTCCATATTTGTTGAATACATAATTAGTTTATTTTCCAATAAGTTTATTGAATATGTATAGTATTTTCTTAGATTATTTTTCTATGAGCTATAATTTTAGTATTTTGGTGTAAATATCAGTTTAAAATGGTCCAATAACTCTTGGTGGGATATAGTATGTTGATACCTATAGCCTAGGAAAACCTGAGAAATGGCTCAAGTCTTCTATAAGATATGATAATGTCAAAAATGAATGAATAGAAATTATTTTCTGGTAATATTGGACTATTATAAAAGTTTTGAAGTAGATTTTTAACCGAGCTAAAACTTAAAGATTACGGCTAGAAAATCATTAATACCATTAAAATAACAAAAATATTATTTATTATATCAATGGTTGATTATAATCATAATTATGGATTGTACGATCTGTTGATTATGGATTGTTCGACTATTAGTTATTATACTATTATTTTCCATTGCAGGGTTTACTAAAATTAAATTACGAGATTTTCATTCATTTTCATCATAGGTCAAAAGTGTTCACACTAATTGTAAGAGGATAATGCTGGGATTTCATAAAGGGAAAACTCATCAAATTATTCACTAATTTAATTTTCTAAAAGATTACTTGATGATTTTTTGGGATAAAGCAGTTTCAGAAAACTCGGATTCAAAAATTTTCACAATAGATACCTAATCATTAAAAAATATTACTATATCTGATTCATCTTCAACCTGGATAAGCATTTTTCTTCGGTTTCATATTTCATATTCTGTAAAACTTCATATTTAGTAATTTTTTATAGTTACTGTCAATAAAAAAGAGTTAATTTTTTTAAATAAACCATATTAAAGGTAAAAGCCCTGTAAAGTGACATCAATGGGGATAAATCCTAAATGATATTAAAGACCACTTAATTATACAATGATAAATCGAGTTTAATCAAAATTGTTGGAGCTGTTTTTGAGAAAATTGTAAAAAATGTGTTTCATTGTTGATATAGAGTAGCACTTATAGTTAGCCGATTTTAAGGAAAAAGTTGCTAACTCTAAGGCATCTTAAATACAACTATCTTAAATACGAAATATCACTTTTGTACGACTTTTTGTTTTTGAGATAGTCTGTTCACATACACACAGACCATTTTGGGAGACTTGGTTATTTGGATTCAGGAGACCTCAAAACGTGTATTTCCGTTGAAAACTCAGATTCAAAAATTTTCACAATCCCAATACTTACTCTTACTATGTATTACATATAATAGGTAAGTGAAAGTAAAAAAAGTCAATGTTTCCATGAAAAAAAGTCAACGCACTGCCCCAAAATGGCGCCCAAAGATGGCGAATTGGATGCTTTGACTTGAGTTAGCTTTTTGGCCACTGAGAGTATTTGGTTTAATTTCGTTATAATTGGTCTTTTATTAAGGCTGAATAGTCAGAAAATAATAAAACATGAAACCACATTAAAAAATAATTCGTTCAGACAATAAAAAACACCAGTAAAGTCAATTATTCAACAAAAAACAATTTCAAGTTGAAAATCAAGCGCTGTTAAACGAATATATAGCAGATAGGTGAACAGAATATTTCAAAGAGCTGCTAAAAGGGGGTCAAATGCTGGGTCAGTTTGGATGATATTAAGTGGACGAATGTAAAAAATGGTGAAGTCCACTGAGAAAGTGAAGTAGCTCTACTTTTGCTTAGTGAATTTGGACAAGATCTTTGAAGTAATCTGAAAGGAAAACATAAAACAAGCTTTTCTGAAGGGCAAGTAGATATTTGGACAATCCAAAGTGTGAGGCGCTAAGTAGATAAAGTGCTATTTTCCTTTCTCGATCGACTTATCTATAACCTGCCTTAAAGTGAAGATATTCCCAATGTGCAACTTCTGTTCCAATGTCAAAGTTGAGTTTCTCAATCCGTATCGCTGTAGCAATCGACAATAGTTCTTATTCTAGCTTCTACAATTCTTGAGTAGAGCTTCTTTGGCATACTGAACAGAATAAATTTCGATGGGTATTAAATTTCCTGGTATCTCCTTGCTTGTAAAGGGACAAAAGTATAGTCCTATCAAATCATTTTCTAACGGCATATTAATCAATATACATTGAAACATTTCTTGCTGATAAAGTGGTCTCCACCACAATAAAGCTCCATCGTCCCCTTAATATCATCCAAACTGACCCAGCATTTGATCCTCTTTTAGCAGCTCTTTGAAATATTCTGTTGATCTGTCTGCTATATATTCATTTAGCCATATAATAGATCTGTTCCTCAATAATATAAATAAATCAATACAATACCTCAATACACAAATAAATATAAAGGCACTGCCACCTAAATATAGTTTTCTTTTCCCAGATTTTAGCAATTCCTTTGTTCCGGTTACCAAGAAGAACATACAGCTTTGCCCTTTCCATCTTTCTTTGTGAAAAGAGAATAAAGAATTAAATATTAAAATTTCCTATTTATTTATGATATGGCCCAACCTCTGAACAAAATAAAGGAAATAAAAAAATGAAATTAATTTTTTATTAGTGATATATGAATTTCATTAAACAACCCAGCAACTATTCATTTATGTAATTCAAATTAATTATATTTTAGTTTATAAAACAGGTATTGATATGACTCATTTCCGGGAAATGATATACAATTTAACTTACCTCTAAGAATCAGTAAATCTACAAAACAAATTGTTAAATTGCAAACGTTAAATAAAAAATTCAAGATATTGAGCAAAGTATTTTTGAATTAAGTTTTATTATTATAATTTCATCATTTTTATAATATAAGCATTCTTAAACGATCTCCGTATAGAATAAAGGAAGTAATAGTTTAAAAAAATTAATTAAAAAATTGTTTACTTTTTTTAACAATTAAATTATTGCATTAATATTTGTTCATTAATGCAATCATTATAATGTTCCAAAAACGTTATTATAGCACTATAGCTATGCTATTTATGAGTAGTGAATTATGTGGCAGAGGCCTGTAGGCACCTACGCCAGTACCACTTTTACGCCGATTTAGTGCATATTCTATCTCTTTTTCTTCTAGTTCCCTTAATTGGTTCCAATCCTTCCTAACCGGTCGCTCCCAGTACGTTGTAATTCCTAATAACCCACCATCAGAATCTCTACCTCTGACCAGAGGCGTCCCACAAGGCTCTTCCTTATCCCCCACCCTTTTCTCCATCTATATAAATGACCTCCCATCCTCTATCCTGCACTGTCATTACCACCTGTATGCCGACGACATTCAAATTTACCTCTCCTTTAATCCGACAGATATCTCAGATGCCACTCAAAAACTTCTGGAAGATATTGACAGAATAAGTGCTTGGGCTAACCTCAATAGGCTCACTCTGAACGCCGAGAAGACAAAAGCCATCTTGATCGGATCCCCTTCACTCCTCAAATCCTCCCCAGTATCTCCTAATCTCTTCCTGAACAACTCACCTATCTTATTCTACACCACCGTTAAAAACCTAGGTGTTACTTTCGATCAATCCCTATCCTGGAAACCTCACATCTCCCAAATTTCCCGTCGCACTATCTCCACCCTAAAACAGTTCAATCGTCTACGATATCTCCTTCCATATAAGTCCCGTCAACTCCTAGTTTCCTCCCTTGTTTTCCCCCACTTCGACTATGGCTATATGGTGTACGGTGGACTCCCGGGAGATTCCGAGGCCAAACTTAAACGCCTAATGAATTGTGCACTACGATTTGTTTTCGGAATCTCAAGGGATACGCATATTACCCAGTATTACACTGAGTTGAGGTGGCTCTACCCATCCTATCGCCGTCAGTACTTCCTAGCCACCTTTCTGTACCAAATCATTAGAACCCATCGACCCTCCTATATTTTTCACAGCTTACAATTCAAATATTCCATCCAATCCCGTCCCACCAGATCTCGTACTTCCGACCTCTATCCTCCTCCTCACCGAACTGCTGTGTTTGACAAATCCTTTGTAATACAAGCCGCCTCCCTCTGGAATTCCATCCCAGCTGATATTTGACACGCTCAATCAGTTTCCTCGTTTAAACCTCTCCTCTTTAAGCACTTACTCCTTTCTCAATCCGAATGATTGTGAAATATATCTAAGAGAAATATCTGAGCACCACCAGAGACTACCTCAATTTATTAAGGTTATTTTAGTTTCTCATACATATGTACAATTTACTTGTTCTTTTCCTTCTCTTTGCTGTATTTTTATCGTAAGTCAACTTTCATTGTAAATATACAATTTAATTGTAGCCACACAGACATATAATCTGTATTCATATTTTGTTCTTAAGGGACAACAGTCCCAGAATAATAAAACATTTTTTTCATTTCATTTCATTTTCATTCATTTCATTCTACAAAATCTCTTCAAATATTTTTAAAAAATGATCACTGTTTTAAAAAGAAAAATATATTCTCCAGATGTTTTATTCGAGGACGTTTTCCGTTATTGTTGGCCGTTTAATTACTAATGACGCTTGATTTTGAAATTGAAATTTTTTTTGTTGAAAAAACAAAGCAATAAGCAAAGTATTTTTGAATTAAGTTTTATTATTATAATAAACTTATAATAATAATGAGATAATTTCATCATTTTTAAATATAAGCATTCTTAAACGATCTCCGTATAGAATAAAGGAAGTAATAGTTTAAAAAAATTAATTAAAAAATTGTTTACTTTTTTTTAACAATTAAATTATTGCATTAATATTTGTTCGTTAATGCAATCAATATAATGTTCCAAAAACGTTATTATAGCACTATAGCTATGCTATTTATGAGTAGTGAATTATGTGGCAGAGGCCTGTAGGCACCTACGCCAGTACCACTTTTACGCCGATTTAGTGCATAATCTACAAAATCTCTTCAAATATTTTTAAAAAATGATCACTGTTTTAAAAAGAAAAATATATTCTCCAGATGTTTTATTCGAGGACGTTTTCCGTTATTGTTGGCCGTTTAATTACTAATGACGCTTGATTTTGAAATTGAAATTTTTTTTGTTGAAAAAATTGATTTCGCTGGTGTTTTTATTGTGTAAAGCAATAATTTTTTTATATTTTTTCATGTTTTATTATTTTCTGACTATTCAGCTTTAAGAAAGGGACAATTATGATTCAATTAAACCAAATGGTAATTCTCAGTGACCAAAAAACTAATTCAAGTGAAAGTCGCCTATCTGCCACCTTTCGACTTCATTTTGGGGCAGTGCATTCACTTTTTTTCATGGGAACATCGTCTTTTTTTAAATAAATAGTTACAAGGAACACAACAATATGCAATTTATAGGGATGTGGTGAGAGAGGGGGGGGGAGGAGGTGTACGGTAGGGAGTCTGGCTCACTGTGAATGTTTTTCCTGCATAAAGATATACATAAGGAAACATGGACCTTGCAGGATAGCCTGACCCAAAATCAAATAGACCATGTTCTCATTGATGCCAGACACACCCGCATTATTTTTTATATCTGCAGTTATAGGGGAACTAACTGCGACTCAGGCCATTACCTGGTCACGATTTTACATGAACAAAAGCTTGTACTAAGAGAAAAAGATAATGTAAGAAGCACTAACACTCACAACATTGAAAAACTAAAAGAGGAAGCTATAGCTCAACGATTTCAAAGAAAAATAACAGAAAGACCGAGAGAACTATTGTGTATTAATATGAATATGGAAGAAAAATGGACACACTTTAAAGATGTTCTCTGAGGACTGGCAGAGGACATTCTAGGCATCACATACAAAAAGTCACCGAAACGACTGGTTTGATGATTGCATAAGAGCCATTCCAGGCAGAAAATGATCCAACAGAGGACCTGTAAAATAGCTCAAGACTACAATTTCAAAAGGAAGGATGCAAAGACCATATGCAAGTAAAAGAAATGGCTGTATGTAACTAAAAAGTTGGAAAGTTGGCAGCTAAACAGGCCAGAAAGTTTTATAAAAGCATGAGATAATTTCAAAATGGCTATGAAGGCTGCAATTCATTAAAGATAGCGAGGAGAATCTGGTAAGAGATAAAAGACTGAGAGGAAATAGATAAAATAATCAGAGCACTCCATAATAACAGAGTTCTTTGAATAGACAGTATTCTGAATGAGTTTCTGAAATTTGGTGATGAGGCACTAGTGGAGGAGACTATCTTATATTTAACTTCTGGACATGCCAGAATCTGTTAGTTTGTATAGTATAATATACTCTGTATGTGAGTATAATAATTGTAGTCGGAGGTTTAATGTTTATCTTTTTTTGTTGATATGTGGGTCCCATGTCATCCTTCTCTCAAATGCCAGTTCAAGATATTTCACTTTATCTGTTTAAAGAATTATGGCATTGCTGAGGAAAGAGGAAGGAAAGTTTCATGTCAAAGAATGAAAATAATATTTTTGTTTTTGTCTTTGTTGCGTCGGATTTTCCATAGTTTCCACCATTCATTTAGTTCATTGAGATGATATTGTTAAGTCTGTGAGACATGTATAGGATTATTACCTCTTATTAGAATTTTTGTATCGTCTGCGTAGGTCGCTGTAATAGCTCTAGTACTCCTTGGAGTATTGTTTGTGTATATGGTCTATAACAGCAAAGTGAATATTGATCCCGGATGAACTCTGGCTAGTCTAATGGAAGAAACTTCAGAGCTATAATAATCTAAAATTGTTTCTCTTAATAGAAATAAACAGTTGGCATTGAACATTCAAGAAATTGGGACCAGTTCATTCTTTTAAAATTATCATCATTATTAAAATTATATTTGAATTAAAGACCAGAGTTTTACAAATTCTTGTCCAACTTTAGAACTTGGAAAACCACTTCACACTGACCCAATTTATTAAATATATTTATTTATTTATTAAATGAGCAAATAAATATAATACTAAAAAAACTTATGATTTTTCCTAATAATTGATGGTCTGTTTGCTTGACGTTGGGATAATTGACACTGCTGTATGTGTTGGTTCTAGACAAATAAATATTGTCCCAAAAACTAAGGTGTGTGCTTTAGACCACACAATAGAAGTTAAAACATCAACAAGGCGAGATTAATAATATGAAATATAAATTATAAATAACAACTCATTATAAAGAGGCTGAAATGCTGAGCATTTCCCTTGCTATATCTTCAATAAAACACATTAAAATTTGATTTTCGACATTATTTTTCCCTTTTAATCTCCCTAACACGGTTTTATGTTAAGGCACAATTTTGAATAATAGCCCATTACAGAGAGGATGAAATGCTGAACAATTCCCTTGCTTACAGTATGCAGGTCTGATCTTTAGTTCTTGAGATATTTTAATCCATACGCAAAAGCAATTCAATTAGTCAACTCCAGCTGACTTAACTCGGGCATCACACATCAGAGATCTGACGACTCAATCTAATTCACTCTCCACAAAAAAATTGCAAAACACACCTGAAGAAGTTTTTACTTAAAAAATAAAAATGTTTTGGTGTTTTTTATCTATTTAAATTTAAATCTGATGTTCTTATCTCATTTTATTTTATATTTCATTACTATTTATATATTATTGTTTAGTGGTATGATTTACATTCTAATTTAATTTGTTTTGATTGTAGACAACTAAATTTATCCAATGCTCATGAAGATATTGACACGTATCTTACCCTCTCTGATGGTCTTTTATACAATTTATTGCATTGGAAAAATGAAAAACTGACAAGAGCTAAAGATATATTATTTAAAATTGTTACTAGAAAATTTTATAAGCTGATTTATCAAACAAAGCTAAAAGTAAGTTATCTATACTTGAAAATTTAACTGAATTATGTTTAAAAAATTTAAATTTAATAAAAACTATAACTAAGGAAAAAAAAATTGCTTAGACCTATCACTTTCATTTATCTCAAATACTGTTTTGCCTCGTTAGTATAATTGCTGTTATGGTCAATAATAAAAAAAAGTTTATTACCATTAATTGGCATTACAATAAACTTTTTCTTTCAACTTTGGGCCAAACCGAACGAGCCGTTTCTGAAATATTGGCATATCTAAAAAAATACGTTGACATGTCTACAAGTGGAAGTGCTGACTTTAATTTGATAAAATTGATATGGGACCATCTAGACACCAACCCCCACAATCCCTGAAAATTGTATGAAAATCAGGTGAACGGTAATAGGCGGTATGCCTATCACATCAATTTGACTACAGACAGATACTGAACCAAATTTAATTTTTAATGCCCAAAACGTAAGTAAAACGTGAGTTGGAATTTTCGATTCTGAGCACAGATTTTTTTTTAACCTGTTTTTTAAAACTTTCCTACCTTCGGTATTGAGAAAGAAAAAGTCATTAAGTGACATTTCCTAAAATGAAATCAGTAATTACTTTGACAAATTTTCTCTCTGTGAAATCAGAAGATTGCTTTTTATTGTTATTGTTACTGTATTTGATATAAATAACACTTATGTGCTGAAAAAAAAGATAATTTTTTTTTTATTTGCTCAACAGTTTGTACACTTCATTAAATGAATCATTTCAACTTTTGGTGTATACTGACATGATTTTTACAGAGCCATTAAAAAACTTTAACCCTCTGAAGCCGTATTATAAATTTAAAGTTATTAATTACATCTGATCAGAGTAAAACAATAACAACATAAAAATTATACACTTTATTTGGTCTATATTTATTTATTTTGTTTTTACAATAATGAAAATAGTGAGGGTTTGCAGTTTGCCTTTGCCTCTGGGCCAGAAGTAAATTTGTTATTTTTTCACTTATATGTGGTGCATTAAGTAGTCTTATTTAAAAAAATTGTAAATGTAAACAAATTTTTTTATCATTACTATGGAAGGCATGGTTGTATTTTTTTCAATTTTTTTACCAGAAAAAAATAGAAATTGAAGAAATCCAGGAAAAGTTGGAAAATGCTTTAAGAGTTAAGAACTCCAAAATCGAATTACGAATATTGCAGTTTGAACTTAGCATGGGCACTGGAGGGGATGACCCATTCAAAAATGTTCTTTTTTATAAAAAAGATGGAAGTGACTTGAAAGCTTCATTACCTGAAGAATGCAAGACAATGTAAGTAATATTTTCAGCTTATTTGTATCCAATACGCAATATGCGACACAGTAACTTTTCTATCTCATTAAATATCTTTTTGCTATCCTTTCACGGGGAAAAAGTAAAATTACAAATTGAGATAGATAAGATCTAAATTATAATAAGACGAATGCAATGTTTCATAAGATAATTACCAATCCCCTTTAAATTCTCCCATGAAAGCACTTCAGAACAAACTTTTCGTCTGGGTGTTGGTTATATATATATGGATTAGACTGCCATTTTATTATATTTAATTTGTTGGATAAATTTTTTTATCCCAAAATAAGTTTCATTTCCTCCATCAATTATCAATAGGTATCAATTATTTTATAATTACACTTGATATAATCTATAGCGAGCGACCTTGAAGGGACCATGTAATAAAATACTTCTATAATGATTTATGGTTGTTACATGCAATGCAAAGAATGATAAAGAATTTAAGAAAAATGAACAATTAATGTTTAGAGTTTTCATTTATTTTATAAATTTATTCATATGAAATTTTCTTTTTATTTTCTGCCATCATTATTGGTGTGCATTTGTTTCGATTGAAAAATATGTTTAAAAAATTATTATCTGATCAAAACATCACCGAGGATTTCTTTGATGCTCCCTGTGATGTTGTCCTTTACTGCATTCATCACAAGAACCAGAAAATCTTAGGTGATGTTACACTAGACTATAGATTAATTCTTGATCAATTTCGATGTGGTCTCATAAGGTGTCTTCATAACTAGTAGGTGGCAATTGATGATTGACGGAGAGACTAAGCCTAATTAAAAAAGTTAAGTTCCATTTGCTCATCAATAATGTCATTTGTGATGAGCCATGATTAAAGCAGTTTACAATTGTAGTGGCTGTAACATCACTCCATCTTTCTTTATCATTATGGTTACATGTAAAACGTAAATTTTGGTTTCCTGCTCTTGTTAGATGTTTTTAAGAAATTTGATGATCAGCTGGTTTCTATAACAGTTTTACAGATTTTCAATAATTTTCTGGTCAGTTGCTTGTAAGATGACGAATTTTTACAAGCAATGGACTCTGACTGTGTGTATGTATAATTTTGTACTGTACATCAGATTCTTATCCTCTTTCCCTTATTTATAAACAAAATAGAATGTTATAATATTGCTATTTGTATTTTATATTGACTTAAAAGTTAATTGTTGATTATAATTTTTTATTTTATTTTTCAGGGAATTGAATTTCTGTATTTTCTCTGTAAATGACATAGACGAGAAATTAGTCGAAGAGATGAAAACTTTATTACCTCAGATATGCCCTGAATTTAAATAATTAATCTGAGAAGGATTTACTTGTTTCTTAAGTACTTAATTTAAGTTATTACTTTAAGTACTTAATTATTGCTCATTGTGAAGAAATAGTAATGCATTGCCAATTTGGCTTTTATTGAGTCATTGATATTATATTTTGTGGGTATTATTATTATAATATTTAAAATTTAAATTGTATAAAACTATTATCACTTGATTACTTTTGGAAGTTCCGGAATCAAAAGGGTCAATTCAAAGATTATTTCATACATGTCTGTGTTCCTCCTTTTTCAGGTATCTTACCAACTTTCATTTTTAGTTGATAATATTGCTAGTCCATATTCTTAAGATAAATAATTTGTTAGATGCTTTTTTTCATTTATAATATAATTACCGAATCCAGGCCAAATGCCCATCAAAATACAAATATTTCATCTCACAAACATTTTGAAATTAATTAACATTAATTAAGTATAAGAGAGGTTAAAAGTCAACTGCTGATCAGCCTTTATAAAAAAAAATATTGGAATTAAAAAAAAATCATTAGATGCAAACATTATTATTATTTAGATTGTATATTAATTTACAGAATTATTATCATATTAAAAATGAACTGCAGTATGTAAATTATATTCAAAACTAAAAAAAAGTAACTTTAATAATTTCTTTATATTTCTCTAAAATGGTTATGGTTTTGGTTTTAGTTTTTTAATTACATTTAAAATTCCATGAAAAATTACTTTTTTAAAAAGATCAAACTTTTTTAAAAAGTTTCAAAGTTAGATAAGGCAGTATTAGGCTCCTATTTTGTTACAGAATTCTAATAGTCTACTGCCATTGTGATGCTAATTTAATCTTTCCTGTAGAAATTGAAATTTTTAGGTTGTAGATTTTCTGACTGTGTGAATGTATAATTTTATACTCATCATCAGATCCCTGTCTCAATTTATCTTTCAAGGCATTTTAAAAATGTACCAAAAGTAATTTAATTATTAATATGGAAATTATTTTGTGTGCTTTTCAACATATTATCTAGTCCTTTGTTATTTATTCATTTTAAATGCTCTACATTAAACACACTATTTGAAATGTATTTAATTTATAACTATTTATTTTATTACTTTGTCTAAGATTAAAAGATTTATTTTTATTTATTTCAAGAGTTTTTAATCTTTCCTTTCCACCTTGCTATCCGTTTTGTTTTTATCTGCAGTATACATAGCTATAATTAGAGATAGGCATTAGATTATTTTTTTCTAATCAGTGTACGGAATATATTTTCCGGGTAGAGACCGGATTTTCCCTTCCATTCTCTATTCTTTGATTTCATCTTTACATTGGCTTATTCAATTGTTATGTGCAGGGACCATGAACCAAAAAATTAGGTTGAAAATTTTTTACTGTTCCTGGATGAAAACATATTGTAATAGAATATTAAGTCACTTCTAATTATTTGATCAAGCTGAATGGCAATACGCTTTATGAACCTTATGACAATTCAATATTTTGGTCTGATGATTGAAACAGAAAGTAACTAATCCCTGTTCTGGTGGGTGCAGTCCTACTGATTTTATGTTTATTAATTCTTGGTGCCTACTTTAACTGCAGTTACATATAAGGCCAGAGGAACTATGGAATGCTCAATGGAGACTGATCAACTTTAGGCTAGTCTCCTACCCATGTCTTGAGATATATAACTCACTGAATGGAGATAATGCTAAGGCTTCTGCCTCCCACTCAATTGAAGGTTTGTAGTGCACTGAAAAGTGAATGGTACTGGAGTGAACATGTGCAGTGAGTACTCTTTATATTTCTGCTCACCCTGTTGTATAAGAGCCTTCCCCTGCTGTGTGAAACTCTGAGAGGGATGTATGTTTATAAATGTCCTAAAATTTAATATTTTTTTAAATGTAGTAATACAAATGAACAAACACTGAGTATTTGACTTTTTTCAAGAAACAAACATATATATTCATACAAGTAGGATGGAATAGTCTATGAGACCAAAATAATATTAGTCCAGTCAATGAATGCTCGAAAAGAGGGTATAGAAGGTAATGGAAGGTACACAATTTTTGACTTTAGGACATTGTTTGGACTAGTAAGGAAGTAAACTTACTAAAAGTCCGCACTCCTAGGTAGTGATCCTGATATGGGGGAGGCTTAGAAGGTCCCTTTTGTGGGTTTCTGCTCGTATCAGGAAAACTATCCATCGCAGCGACAAAGATGTTCTGTACAAAACTAAAGCAGATAAAATTTGAAATTGCATATATACCTTTTTTTTTTTACTGCTTCACTTAGTTTCCAAGATATCCAAATTGAAATGAGATACTACTTCAACTGCGTTCCAGAAGAGTAAGCTAGGATTTATTAAGTTATATATGAAATATTCAGTGGTATAGATGTAGGTGGGAATAAGGGGAAAAAAACATACAGAAAGGCAAATTTTTTTTTTAAAGTTAGTGATAGTCGAGGATGGATAGTTTAGAAACTAAGCAAGGTAGCCAAAAAAAGGTACATAATCAATCATATGGAAAATTTTATAAGTTTTAATTTTGTATAGAAAGTCTTTGTCGCTGGGATGGATAGTTCTGATGAGCGAATACCTAAACTAAGTGACCTAGGCATCCCCTACATCTGGCTCACCCCCTATGAGAAGAGGACTTTTAGTTTGTTTATCTCCTTAGTAGTCCAAACAATGTCCCTAAAACTTGTGTCTCTTCCATTTCCTTCTATAATCATTCATTGACTAGAATATATAAGGGCTATTCTCCCAGAAAGTGCCCTATGAAATTGGAAAAGTGTTTCCACTTTCCACTATTAATTTTGTAATCGAAAGAAATATCCCTCTAAACTTAGTAAACTTTATTTGCATTTATTATTAGTTAATTATTTGATTAAATTATTCAAAATTTAAAAAAAAGGTTTAAATGTCATTTGTTCACCTTGCCAGGAATTAATATTCCTGATTTTGCTGATCTTCATCAAATTCGAAAAGTCCCATTAAAAATTTGAGACTTATAGCACAACTCGATTAACTGTTTAATCGTTATATGTTTAAAGTTATTTTTAATTAATTAATTAAAAATAACTCTCCCTTTTTATGTCCATATGTTAAGTATCATTGTTTATCTAAATTTTTCTCTAATTTTCGTGAATTCTGATTTCCCTCACTCCATTAATTTTCCTACAATTGTAGGATAAATTTACTGATTATAAGTTGTGGAACCCTTCATAACTACTAAATCAAGTCTTACCACTCTTTGCGTTAAGACATCTGTTAATTCGATGCATATTTTTACTGTTTGTCAAATATACACCCATTTCAAACATATAGAACATCCTAAGATTAGTTTTTTTAATACATACATTTAAAACATAATGAATTCTTAAATTATTTGTGTGTAATTGGTTGAAAAATTCAAAAACTACCCTGCAAGTAAAGGAAACAATTGAAATTGGTCATTCATTCACACAGTTCTTGTTTTAGTTAAATTGAAATAATATACAATGTTATGAATGTCTTTATTCCAGCATAGAATTAATTAGTTTATAGTTGGATTCACTCATAGAATATCTCGCAAAATCTCTTGTAAATCTATCTTTTCATCGATATCCATAATATTGGACAAAAATTTCAACATTGTTCCAATTTCTGTAGCACCCATTGTGATTCTCGTGTTTAGCTAGGACACAGAGTAATGGTGTGGGTTTCAGTAAGGAAATTTATTTGTCTTACTGCTCATTGAACAAAGGAAAGCACCACAGACAATGCTGTTATATATTTAAGCCCGGATATTTCGGATAGCAAAAGCTATGTCGGACTGACGGCTAAGGATAGAAGAAATGAAACATTTGGAGGGAAGCGGCCATCCAATAATGAACTATTATCTAAACTTGCAACAAATATGTAAAGCTTGCTGTAGGTAAGGATTTAAAAAAAATAATAATAATATTTTGTCGTCTTGATTAAAAATTGAAAAATGAAGGTAAGTAAAATAGTTATTCAAGAAAATTGTATTTATTTCAATGAAATATGTTTGAAATAAGCGTTCATATATTTGTTTCTACTTAACAGTAGGAATTAAAAGTTATGATAATTTCCATTTTCCACATTTAGCTAATCATTGCAACAAAAGTATTTAAGATTTTCAGATAAATATATTATAAAATTATACCTTGGTAAAAAAATAAAACCAGAATTCGTATTCAACAATCAATCATAAAAACATAAGAATAGTTTATGGTAAATTTATAAAAGAATTAACAAAACATAAATAATTTTATTGTAATTAAAATTAAATAAAATTTATAATGTTTTATAGAACAATAAAAATATATAAAATTCATCGGAATACAACATATTCATGAAACACATATTAAAAGGAAATAAACATTGATCAAATTATTTTAAAGAGACAACCTTAATTTCTTGGAGGCTGCTTTGACTAGGAAATATTTCTACTTTTGATATATTTGCATTGAAAAGTTAAAAGGCCTTCCTCCTACTGGTGGTGGGGCTAGTTCTGCAAATGAGCTCTGTGGTCCTACTTGTCAACTTCTGAGTTCTACTTTAGGTTACCATCCCCCACAGGCTGATCTACAGGGGGAGAGGGAGAGCTTTCCAACAATGTTTCAACTGTGTACCACTTGGTTATGAGAACCATATTGAGCGACAACAGTCTTCCTAACTTGGTAATTATTACAATACTTCTGCAACATCAAGCGAAACTCCTATACTTTACTCTTGAGCCTGTCCTGAAAACCCACCTTTATCTCTCAGTCTTCCCACTTAAAAAATCGTTCCATTTGGTCTGCATGATGATATGAAGAAACTGTCAGAGCCGTATCGCGATGAGTGTCGATGAAATTTTTGACGAAGTAATCGGCCATTCTCCAATAAACAAATGAGAGTCCTTCCCAGTTACGAGACTTGTTCCTTCCTTCTTTCAACAGACCTACGGATAGCAGGTCGGCTTTCATATCATCATCAATCTTTGGTCCTTCATCTCCTGTCAGTTC